ACAGACTAGGAAGTGAAAATGAGAACCCTTCAGTTGACAAAAGACAATATAAACAAATAGTGGGAAGATTGATATACCTAGCTCATACTAAACCTGCTCTAGCTTATGCAGTTAGTATTGTTAGTCAATTCATGCATGATCCAAGGGAGAAACACTTGCGAGCTACGGACAGGATTCTTCAATACCTGAAAAGCACACCAGGTAGAGGACTACTGTAACAGAGAGGAGGAAATCTCTCCTTAGAGGTTTATACAGATGCCGATTATGCTGGATCTGTGACTGACAGACGATCTACTTCGGACTATTGTATGTTTTTTTGTGAAAAATTAATAACATGGAGAAGTAAAAAGCAAAATGTGGTTGCTAGATTAAGTGCAAAAGCGAAATTTCGGGCCATGGCTTAAGGGATCTGTGAGTTACTATGGTTAAAAATCATTCTTGATGATCTCAAGGTGATACACCACCCCAAAAGCTAGCTCAAAGGGTAGGAGTGCCCAAGGCCTTATAAACTCCACATTAGTTGCTTATACAACCAATGTGGGATTATATATCTCAACACGCCCCCTCACACGAGAGCCCATTGGGCTTGAAGAGTGGATGATGCAACAGGCCCAGCCTACCTGTGCTAAGAAATTCCACAAGAGAAAGTGGGGGGCGGCGAGGTTTGAACCCGGGACACGATGCTCTGATACCATGTAAAGAACCTTGGGATACACCACTCCAAAAGCTAGCTCAAAGGGTGGGAGTGTCCAAGGCTTTATAAACTCCACATTAGTTGCACATACAACCAATGTGGGACTATATATCTCAACACGCCCCCTTACACGAGAGCCCATTGGGCTTGAAGAGTGGATGATGCAACAGGCCCAGCCTACCTGTGCTAAGAAATTCCACAAGAGAAAGTGGGGGCGGCGAGGCTCTGATACCGTGTAAAGAACCTTGGGATATCCCACCCCAAAAGCTAGCTCAAAAGGGTGGGAGTGCCCAAAGCCTTATAAACTCCACATTAAATGCTCATACAACCAATGTGGGACTATATATCTCAACAGATATGAAGGATCTATAAAGTTATTATGTGGTAACAAGTCAGCCATCTGTATAGCCCACAATCCAGTCCAACATGATCGAACCAAGCATATTGAGATTGATCGCCACTTCATCAAAGAGAAACTCGATAGTGGCCTGATTACTACTCCATATATCCCTTCTGGTTGTCAATTGGCTGATGTCTTGACTAAGGGTCTACCTAATAATAGGTTTCAAAAGCTTATTAGCAAGCTGGGAATGATAAATATCCATTCCTCAGCTTAAGGGGAAGTGTTGTAAATATTAGAATTTTATCTATTTATTTGTATTAGCTAGAATACTCTAGAAGTGTATTTTGGGCTTAGCCCATTAGGTCATTCAATACTCTATAATTAGAGAGCTCTTGTACAAATATTATACGATTCAATAATATACAAATCTTCTTTTCTAGTCAATTGTTCTGACCAGAAGGAGACCGATGCCTAACTCTTGAGTGTTCTTTGGCAACCCATTGATCCAATCATTGTTGACCTCTCCTTGCCGTTTGAAACATGCTATGAGGTATGGAAGGAAGCAAAATTACTACACAAATGACATAAAACGACCATACTTTGTTGTCTCTAGCATGATAAGGATGTGCAAAACAACAAACAAAATGACATTCATATGTTGATTTTGATTTCATTTTATTTTCTTTTATTAGAGATTTTGAATCCTATATATAATGAATGGGCCGGAGTATTTTCTTCAAGCCATTTAGAAATTCTCTTTCAACATGGTGTCAGAGCTAAGTTCTGTTCCAGCCATAAAAAATCCTAGGCCTTGCTCCAACCCTCAAGAACTCATAATTTTAGATCTATCCTAGTCAAGCGCGCAACTTGAGGCAACCCTATGGCCTCAAGTACAAGTGGTTCTCTTAATCCCATGACTCCTCAGTCATCTGGAGGCACCAACCTAACTGGTAATGTTCCCGTTTCGTATGCCTTCTTTGATTCTCCCACAATCACATATGAGAAATTGAATGGTAAGAATTATTTGGTTTGGTCAGCCTCCGTTGAACTGTGGTTTATCGGTCAAGGTCTATTTGACCAACTTGAAAAGTCAGCTTCTGATATTCCCACAACAAATAGGAGTTAATGGGAGACGTTTGATTAATAGTTATGTGTTTTGTCATGGCAGTTTGTGGAACCTAATACCTTAATCAATCTCAGGGCTTTAAAGACATGTTACTTTTTGGAACAAAGCTCGCAGTTTATTTGCTAATGACATTCAGCACTTATATGATTTAACTTAGAAATTAACTTCTCTTCGACAACAAGATCATGACATGACTAGTTTTGTTGCTCAGGCACAAGCTGCAATAGAGGAGTTGAAGATGTTTTCACAGGAAAACAGTTATCAAGGATTGTAAAACAAATTGGATAACTTGTATGCAGTGTTGGTTCTTCATGCAATACACTTTGTCTTTGCTCATGTGCGAGATCAACTTTTGACCAATTAAGAGGTACTCACCATGGATGCAATCTTTACTCGCCTCTTGAGGGTTCCTACTCCTATGGACTCTTGTTCCAACACAATTGATACATCAGTCCTAGTAAGCAATTCGGGATCTTGTTGTGGACGTGGAGTACGTGGTGGCAGAGGAGCTCGTGGAACTCGAGGCGGTCGTGGAGGACGTTGTAGCAATCTTTATTGTACGTATTGTAAAAGACAAGGCCACACTTAGAAGACTTGTTACTCTGTTCATAGTTTTTCTGATAAAACTATCAACGTCAGTCAGTCTTACCCAACACAAGAAGAAAAACGATCTAATGCTCCATCCAATAAACCATCTATTACCCTTTCAGAGTTAGAGTTCCAATTCCAAGAGTACTTCCAGTTGAAGGCAACAAAGCAAAATTAGTCTTCTACTGCTACTATCGCTCATATATGGTAATCCTACAGTGCGTATTTCTCATACAGGTAATAATTCAAGTTCTTGCATCCTTAATTCAGGGGCCTCCAACCATGTAGCTGGTAATCGATCACTTTTCTCTTCTCTCTCTCCACCTGATGTTCCTCGTTTTCTCACTTAGCTTATGGTTCTAAAGTTTATGCTCAAGGCATTGGTCATGTTTCACTCACTTCATCTATACTGTTAAAGTCAATCTTATTTATATCTGAATGTCCCTTTAATTTGATTTCCTTGAGTCAGCTTACCAAATCTCTTAACTATTCAATAACTTTTAATTTTGATTGTTTTATCATACACGAACGTGGTATGGCACAGACGATTGGAGCAAGACATGAATCACTTGGACTTTATCATCTCAAGTCGACCCCTCATGTGGTGTGTGCTGCTATTGAATCTCCTAGTCTTCTACATCAGCATCTCGACAATCCTAGTTTGTCAAAACTTCAAAAATGGTTCCAAGTCTTGCAACTTTGAAGTCTCTCAATTATGAATTGTGTCAACTTGGGAAGCATGTTGGGCTTTCTTTACGAGTCAAGTTAAGAGTCGGAGTCTATTTTTACTATCATTCATTCTTACGTACGGGGTTCAAGTCGTGTTCCAACTCTCTTTGGTTTTAAATGTTTTGTTACTTTTATTGATGACTTTTCTCAATGTACCTGGTTGTTCTTATGAAAGAAAGTTCTAACATATTATCCACAATCCAATCCTTTTATATTGAAATTCAAAATCAATTTGGCAAGTCCATCAAATTTTTATGTAATGATTGTGCCAATGAATATTTTTCCACTGGATTCTCATCATTTATATCTTCTCATGGTATTTTACATCAATTATGATGTGCATACACCCTAATAAAATGGAGTGGTTGAAAGAAAAAATCATCATCTTATTGAAACTGCTCGTACATTATTATTACAAACTAAAATGCCTTTGCACTTTTGGGGTAATGTTGTATTGATTGCTTGCTATTTGATCAATCATATACCTTCATCTGTAGTCAATAATCAAGTTCCTCTTTGGTTGTTAGTTTCCAAATGTCCCTTATACCCGGTTCCTCCTAGAGTGTTTGGGTGTACTTGTTTTGTCCATGCTCTTTCCTCTAGTCAAGACAAGTTAGCTCCCGGTGCTATTAAATGTGTTTTCCTTGGTTATCCCAAATTACGAAAAGGATATCGTTGTTATTCTCCTATTACTCTTTGATGGTATACCGCTGCGCTCTGCCGATATCACCTTTTTCGAAGACACACCCCTACTTCACTTCTCCTACCGACTCAAACATAATTTCTGAAATTTTACATATCCCATATTTTGGTCCCTCTCTGTCTCGCTTGCAGCTCCAACCCCCAAAATCTACACCTATTCAATCCGAGCAAGTTCAATCCATTCAACCTCTGCAACCTCTCATTCCTATAACAGAGGAGGTAGCCATGAGCTCTTGTGAAACATGACCTGATCCAAATGCTTCACCTACTACGGATCCATGTGACCTTAGTGAGTTTGTTGATAATCTTCTTATTGCCATTCGAAAAGGTATTTGATCCACTCGCAACACTTATCCTATTTATAACTTCTTAAGTTTTCATCGTTTGTCTCCATCATATTATGTTTTTGTAGCTTCCTTGTTTTCTGTTCAACTTCCTAACACTGTAGGTGATGCCCTATCACATTGTGGTTGGCGACAGGCCATGATTGATGAGATGAATTCCCTTGAGCATAATGGTACATGAGAGTTGGTTTCTCTTCCCCAGAGTTTAAAGATTAATAGTTCTTATGCTGAATCAGTCAAGAAAACAAAAAGATTCACTTGGTATCAAGTTGTGGAAGTCTCTGAACAAAAAAAATGGTAGTAGTGACCTAAACTACTCAATGTACTTCTTTTATCATTTTTTCCCATCAATTTATTTCCAATCCTAATTCATTTTTCGGATCAGATAAATATGGAAAGGGTATCATTGTAATTTTTAAAATTGTGGTCACAGGGTAAATTTAAATAACAACTTTACACACATATATACAATACCTGACATTTTCCCTGGGAATTAAACAAGTTATTACGGATATAACTATCATCAACATGAGTGTCAATTGCCCCACTCTTAGACGAACATGGGATGAAATTTAACTTCATCTGAGCCTCTTCGAGACAAGTACTCAAACTTTGTACTTTTTTCTGTGAACAATGAAAGTTAGTATTATCAACTGTAAGTATTGCTAAATACTAACTTGTAAGAGAAAATACCAGTAATCTCTCATGCTTCATATGCATTAATTGTAATTTTGCCTTCTCATACGCTATCTTAAACAGCAACATTCTTGTTTCCACAACTCTGCAAAAGAAATACTTCAGATCATCAATCAGTCATCCAAAAAGTTAATAAACATGTAGGAAACAACATAATCCACATTCCACATAGTGACTTAGTCAAACAGCACAAACATACCTTTTATGTCTAGGAATACTCACAAGATCCATTATTTCCTGCTGAAAGAAAAACAAAAACCATGTCAATAAGAAGGAAATGTCAGGCTTAGATATTGTCTTTAGAGGAAGAAATACTTGTTCTAATCACCATATAATGTAAGCTTGTTCACGATATAATTATATAACCAGAAAAGTGGTTAAATTTGATTTTCTAATCTAACAAACCTGAGATTGAATTTCAGAACAAATAATCTCACATTTCTTAACTTTCTGCCGATGAACCAAAGTATCTTCCAGCATGCCAATCTAAATATGGAGAATAAAAATTAGTGAAATCATTTATATCAATAACTACAATAAAATATGTTTGAAGAATAAAAAGTAAGCAACAATATCCACAAGTTTATATGAATGCTATTATTTTCTAATTTTACACCCATATATTAATTAGAACATACCAATCTCAAATTTAGCTTATCAACTGATGGAGAAAGCAACTGTTTTGTGCTCCCTAAGAAATTTTTTAGAATCTGCAAGGCAATTGAAAAGTTGAGAGGCCCAATATAACAACTGAAATTCTAAATAATTCTTAACATAAAACAGTAACCATACATGATCCCAATCATTCCACGTCTGATCTTCAAGCTTCTCTCTTTCACTTGTCATATAACCAGTTTGCTCAGAAACTAACTGTAGGTCACTATTCTCACTTTTATGAACCTCTAGACTTTTGTCAATCCTCCCCATTATATCTATATTGTCTCCACTTAGTATCTCAACACCTTTTCTTTTCTTCCCAGAAGGAATCTCAATACCAGATTTGGTAAGAGAGCTCTGAGCTACTTGGAGTGCCAGACGGTAGTTGTTATCAAGATCATGACCATCTGAGTTTCCCTTGATGGACATGTCTTGCATATTATTGTGCAGCAATTCGCTGGGAGGCTCTTGCAGGGAAGGCAACAGAGTAGTTGCTTCTTGGATAGGAGTGCTCAGAACTAGAACTCTCTTAGCAGGACTTTCAGTCGATTTTCTCTTTGATGCACTCTAAGTTACCCAAGCACCAAATCAGTGTAAAATCAATAACGATTAAGAGAAGAAACTGAAATGGTCAACATCATAAAACAAAGAAAAATTAGACTTTTAGAAAAAATCTTTTGAGCTCTTCTGAGACAGACATCAGCCACATGTTTTGCAAGGGTCAAAATTCTTTTATTAACAAACACAACCAGAAAATTATTTACTGTGACAAGACAAAATCAGACAAACTGAAGTGGGTTTTGTATATTTTAATGATTTGAGAAAAAGCCTAAACAAAATCTTGCTAAAAACCTGGTTGTTAAAGTTTTTGTTGACAACCTACATGCTTTATGGGATCTATATCACCATACTGAAAAATTTAATTTACACAATACAGTAATATCTCATACATGTACAACCCTACAGAATTGAGGTATAAATTGTAATTTGACAGATGATTATTACTGCAATTGTTTTTTACTCCAAGATCTTGCATGCACAACCCTATTGTTATTACTAAAAGTTTTATTACTTCATGCAAAATTCAACTTCCGTAATTTAAACAGACACAATTTTTTTTTCAATATCTCCGCAGAGGCTAAAGAAGAATTTAGAACAAATTGTTCATTTTGATATCATTTCATCTATCATTTAGCAAGGTAGCTTCTTCCCCAAACGTATTCTCTCAGTTTCAGGTAATGATTATAATTCCCCGTTTCCAATTTCTCCTTCATTTTCCCATCTATAAGTGAAACTGTCATTGAAGTCCTAATATATAGGTTTCCATTTATCAAATTTCTATACATTCTTACTGTAATTAAATTTAGGGGAAAAGAAAAATATGCCGTAGAGATCTTGAGATTAGGCACAGTTTGGCAAATTTCAAAGCAAGTCATAGTATAACATAATAATGAGAAGTTTCAAGGATTGGAACTGTAGAAATTCAGCTGAAACATGGTTATATTTATGGATACAGAACCAAAAAGCAACCTGGTATTAAAGTTTAGGAGATGGATTAATGATCTAAACATAAATTTATCCAGATATTATCTATATATTTGTAATTGACTCTGAAAGTCATGCCATAGAGGACTAACCATGTAAAGAGATGGATTAAATATCTAAACTTGGAAGTGGTCTTAAATATTTCTCTTCTATCATTTAGCGAATGACTCCAGAAGTTCCACAAAGTACTAAAGATATGCAAAGGTTTTATAGAGAACTTTTCTTTTTTACTTCCATAAGTCATGAAAAACAGTCATTTTCTTTCCTTTTACCTTAGCAAATTCGTTGAACTGTGCAACCTCAAAAGGTGAGCTAAGCTGTTCACTGCTTCTAAAACCAGACAACTCCAATTTGTTAGCTATTGCTTGTGTGTTGCATTCAGTTGCTTGCCCTATACCACTAAAAACACATTCATTCTGCTTATCCAGCAGTTTCAACTCACCATGGCAATAACTTTGACCTTCTACATATGGCGATAAATTCTGGTCAAATGATTTCACAGGGGAAGAAAAACGTTTATCATGAGTAACAATTAGAATTTCATCCTTTCTTTTCACATCTGCGCTATCTGCCAGGTCAAAATCTATCACTCGGGTTAAATGAGTCATCTGCGAGGGAGAAGATGTCATTTCCACAGGCTTGGGATTTTTTACATTGTAAGAAACATCAGCAGAAATCAAATTAGAGTTTTCCTCATCCTTTTTGGTGTCTACAGTCTCTTCATTTTGACTTAAATTGCTAATATTTCTAAAAGGCTCAATTCCATGATCATCAGTGTTGAGCAAACCTTGATGAATGTCATTCTCTAGAGTTAAACTAAACAGATGCTCCTTCACAGGAGCATGGAGAGTTTCAACTTGCTTGTGCTCATGATCTTTTTCATTAAAAAGAGAAGTCCCAGGAGAATATTTTGACAACCTACATTTCAATCTCTCAATTCCTTCTTTGAGAGTTGACGTGCTGGGAGTACTGTCAAGAGCTTGCAACTTTGAAATGCTATTACGTATCGATGACAGAGTGGCACCATGTGTGACATATACCTCTGGCACAAACAAATCAGATTTCTTTAAGGGAGAAGTTATATTTCCAGTATATCTAGATGAATCAGGAGAACCTATAAATAATTGTTTTCTTCCAGCAAACGACAATGGTGTAAACCCATGTATTGGATTTCCATTTACTTTATCAGACTTATGGTTGGAGTCAGACAATTGTCCTCTGTCTTTAGGATTACTTTCAGTTACCTGGCCTTTGCTATAACCAAGTTCAAACTGAGCTGACAAATTTAACTGATAGCCTTCATCCATCTTTTGTGGGGTTCCTCTATTAGCATTGCCAAAGCCTAATTGTTTAGGAACCGGAACAGTTGCATCATTAGCAAACTCCTTAATTTCCTGCAAAAGAAAATAACAAATATGACTTACCATGCATTTATGCACGTATTTCAACAGATGCAATAGCAGATATAAGGATAGTCACAAAAGTGTAATAATAAACCATGCAAACCCACATTTTGATATAATTAATCAAATGCATTCAGCACATATAAAAAATGTTACAACCCCCCCTCTCACAGGCTGTGCGAAAGAACATGAACCCCAAAGGAACAAACAATTTAGCAAGGGCTCCTAAACTCCAAATATTTCAATTTGATATTAAAGATGCAATTATTCATCTCAAGCGATGTATGCACAAGTTTATATGAGCCTTCCAATTGTTTTTTATATCAATCAAAGAAACCATGAAAATAAGTCCACAAATAATTTAAAACCTTGATCGGTATTAGATGTCCAGATAGAAAATTTTGAAATTGTTTTATAACCAAACCAACCAATAGACCACTCTCCAGCAATTATAGCACAGTTCCACAAAGCTTTACTTTCTTTCCTCCATTGGTGCCCCAAAAATGAACAGTAACCAACTGTTCAAAGCATCATAATAGGACAAACTTAACCAAGTGCTCTTAGTCAAGATAAATTTACCTCCATCAGAAAAAAACAGGTGTTTCCTAGTTCCTACCAAGTAGATAATCCTCAACACTCTAAGACCACATCCTGCACTACCAAAATCCTTCTGGTCTCCAGGGGACAATCCTGGATAGATCATGGCTAAACCTATAAGCCTAACTTGACAAACCAAATTGACTTCCAAGAATTCCACATGTCGGAGATCATGTACAAGAACCATTCCTCAACCTGGTGCTATAAACCTCCAGTTCTATTTAGGGTCCAAGAATTGGTCTACAACAGTTAGCCTTATCTTATATATTCAAGAGACTGATTACATGAATCATACCTATCACCACCAGATCAGGCGGTAACAACATCAACCCATGTGCCAAGTCTCCCATTCATATTTTCTAGGCATTTAAAGCATAGGACCAAGAAATTAAATGAAACATCAACCTAAGATATTTTTCACCTTAAATGAAGAATCGGGAGCTGGAGCAGCAACTGACATATCATTTATATGTGGTGAATCTGCGGCCTTGAAATGTAATGGCAAGACAGCAGACAAATCCTTGCTTCCCTCTGCCAAAATTGCACCCAATGCAGGAGATAATACATCATAACCATAGCTCTGAGGACGTTCTCCTTCAACACTCATGTCATTCGAGTCTCTGCCGCCACTTGCCGCCGCATCAGCAGGCACATGAGACTGCTTATTAGCCTTGGTGAGTTCCATGAAACTTCCCGGGAGGCTGCAACTTTCACTGGGCGTTTCCATGCCAAAACTCGAAGGCGTCTTGAGATCCCCTGAATCGGAACGAGCAAGACTCCGATAATGCAATGAGAACATTGTTGAGTCCAAAGTAACATCATCAGATGCACCAGAATCAGACAAGCGTTCAGGTCTAATGAAACAAGCCGAAATGGGACCATGAAAATCATCCTCTGCTAAAACAAACAGAGCACACTTATTCACAATCAAGAGAAACAGAAAAAGTAACTAACCTAAAAAAATACAGAAAAACACACTTCTCGAATCTTCCGCACAACTATTCGTGACTTGAGTTTGATTATCAAATAATCACAGACTAAACCTTCATTAAGGTTAGTGATATTCCTTAATCTAAAACTTTATTTAAAAATATAAATACAAAAAACAGAGAAACAGAACTTGCCATCGCCGTCGTCGGCGGTGGTGCTACTACCACCGGGAGAGGGGGTGCCAATTGGCCGGAGGAAGGATTCTCTGCCATCCACCACTTCGCCGTCGTCCTCCTCCCTGAGGTTCTGAGGTTGGTGTTCGTCGTCGTCGCTGTCGCCCCCTAAGTCGCGGAAAAACCCTTGGACGGGGTCGGGAGGGGCGTCGGAGGGGGAGGAGGAGGAGGAGGTGTCGTCGCGGCGGAAGACGTGGACGGAGGTAATCTCGTTGTCGGCGAAGCTCACGCGGCGTGCCCTCTTCCTCTTGAGCGCGATGGTCTCGTCTTCGGTTTCGGTGTTGTTCGAAGGTTCCATTGTCGCAATTTTTTTGCTCTCTCTCTCTCTCTCGCTGTGTGGAGTTGTTTTTTGTGCGGGAAAATGCATTTATTTCGTTTTGGTTTCAAATTGAAATGAGTACACCAGTATTGTTGGATTTCTGCGGTTCTCAATTTTCACATATTGCAATGGATTTATCGCTTGATTAATTCGATTCGGGCGTGTCTCCAAATTAAGGTAATTTTAGAAATGAAAAATGATTTCTGCAGCTGCTATGCGTGCAACAAGCAAGGATACACGTCCGAATTTTAGGATATGACAATGGATCCTGAGTTTTTTTTTTTTTTAAAAGCCGTAGGGCCCACTTTTCTGTGTCAGCCGTAGATAACACTATCTACGGCTGCTGCAGAAATGTTAAGCCCTTTTAGAAAAAACGAAATCAATATGAAATGGAAAAAGTTTAAAAACTCCCCGTATAACTTTGTTTTAAATCACTTATATCTCTTTCTTTTCTTTTCTTTTTTATTTTTTTAGTAGATAATGAGGGCACAGCCCAAAACAAAACAAAAAAACAACTAAAGTAAACCTAGTCTATCAGACTCCACCAGCAACTGTAAACTGTCTGGAACTGATGAAAACAATTCTAAATCTTGGTTCCTTTTGAAAGCAAAGGAAGTCATCCAATCAGCACAACAATTTGAATTTCTGCCACCATGATTAAATTTTAGACTCCAACTATTATGGCTCCAGCTCTGCATTTCGTGAACAAAGCCTTGAAGGGAATTGTTTTTAATTTGTCCTGTAACAAGTTGAACAGCCATACTAGAATCACTTTCAACCTCAACCTGCGTAGCCTTTATCCGCCAAGCTACCTCCAGGCCTTTAATAATAGCCCAGCACTCAGCTGTTAGAGAGGAACAAACACCAATCTGGTAGGTGAATCCTATAATCCAATTACCCTTCTCATCTCTAATCAAACCACCACAAGCAGCACTATTGGAATGAAGACACACTGCAGCATCCACATTCAACTTCCACCACCCTATCTGAGGAGGTTTCCAAAATGGGTTGTGTGTCACACGAGTAGGCTTTCCTCTAGTATTTAAAAGGAACGCCGATTTTATCTGGGAAATATACAAAGAAGTTGTCGGGGATTGGCGTTTCTTATATCAATTAATTTTGATCTTTAAGATTGGATTTTATTTTTATTTTTGATTTCTGTGTGATATTTGAACAGTGCTACTAATCTCTTTTCTGAGTTGTATGCGAGGTAAAAAGCCAGAATTTCCACTTGATTTGGAGATTACAAAGACTGAAAAGAGATACAGAAAACTTGCTCGGAAGAAGCTTGCATTCAACGAGTTAGGGATTATGTCTGAAGAAACACACACCATGGCAGGGAACAATGAAGAAGATAATCCACTTACAGATACTATTCTGATTCCATCGTTCAACAGGCCAAATGCGAGTATTGTTTAGCCTAACGTGGCCAACAATTGGGAGCTTAAGCCTTCCCATATTCAATTGGTGGAGAAAGCTCAGTTTGGAGGAGAGGAAAGTGAAGATCCTCACCGATTTATTGACAGATTCATGATGATCTGTGACTCCACCAAACACCCTTAGGTGTCTAATGATGCAATCTGATTGAGGTTGTTCCCTTTTGCTCTTAAGGGGAAGGCTCTTAGTTGGTTGGAAAGGCAGCCTGCAGCAAGCATTCCAACCTGGGATGATTTATCACAGAAGTTCTTTGTTGAGTTCTTCTCGATGGAAAGGTACAACCAGATGGTGAATGATATCACCAATTTCACTCAATCTGAGGGTGAATCAATGTGTGCAACATGGAACCGGTTCAAGGATTTAATTAGGAGGTGTCCTCAGTATAACTTGACTGCAGGTAATCAAGTTAGAATATTCTTCAATGGTTGCAAACCTGAGATTCGGATGGTGTTGAATGGTGCAACTGGTGGCACTATTAAAACTCTAAGAGCAAACAAGACTGTTGAGTTGATTGAGAGGATGGCTATCAATGAAAATGAAGTGTTGTCAGCAAAGCCTAAGAGAGGTATCCTTCAGCTGGAAGGTAATGATGCAATGCTAGCTGAAAACAAATTGTCTCAGCAAATGGCAACTCTGATAGAAAGGCTTGACAAGATGCAGCTTTCTAGTGTTCAGACTAAAGTTGTTGCGGTTATATGTGAATATTGTAAGGACAATCATGAGTCTAATGAATGTCCTTCTTTGCTAGCTTCTGATCCTCCTCAACAAATGCATGTGAATGGTATTTGGTATGACCAAAGACCTTTGCCACCAAATATTCCAAGGAATTAGAATTATCCTTCTGGGAGTAATAATTTTCAGAGGAGGGTACAAGGAACTGGTCTGGACTTCAAGTCAAATAACTATTTGCAACCTCCACCGGTTCAACCTAAGGAACCTTCTGAGTTGGAGAAGTTAGTAGGACAAATGGCTCAACACTCAAATGCTTTCATGGAAGAGACTAGAGCCAATAACAAAAACACCAATGCCTCTATCTGGAACTTGGAGAATCAAATTGGCCAACTGGTTAAGCAAATTGCGAAAAGAACTCCAGGTACCTTCCCTAGCAATACAGTTACAAATCCCAAAGACGATTGTATGGCTATCACAACTAGAAGTGGTAAAGTGGTAGTAGCTCCAGAAAAGCAAACCCAAATGTGGAAGCTGATAAGAAGCTTAAGGAGATTAAGAAGCCGGAAAAAGAAGTGGTAATTCCTTCTAATGTTGAGAAACCTGTTCAGAAAAATGAAGAAGAAGAGCCACTTATTGTTGCTGAAAAGAAGAAATTTGAGTTGAATCCTGAATATGTGAGAGTCATGGCACCTTATCCAGAAAGATTCAAGAAAGATGCTCAGAAGCAGCAATATGCAAGATTTCTTGATATCTTCAAAAAATTGCATGTAAATATACCTTTTGCTGAAGCCTTGGCTAATATGCCCAATTATGCCAAGTTCATGAAAGACTTGTTGTCAAGAAAACATAAGCTGCAAGAATGCCAGACAGTAACACTCACTGAGGAGTGTAGTGCCATAATACAGAAGAAGTTTCCACCCAAGCTTAGTGATCCAGGGAGCTTCAATATTCAAATTGCTATTGGTAATACTGATGTCGGCAGAGCATTGTGTGATCTTGGGGCAAGTATTAATCTGATGTCGTTATCTGTTTGTAAATCTCTGGGAATTACTGAATTAAAACCCACCATGGTTTCTCTTCAACTTGCTGATAGATCTCTGAGGAGACCAAGTGGTATTATTGAAGATGTTCTTGTTAAAGTGGATAAGTTCATCTTCCCAGCAAATTTTGTGGTGTTATATATGGAAGAGGGTACTAAAATGCCTCTGTTATTGGGTAGACCTTTCTTGGCTACTCTCGAGCCATGATTGATGTTGAAAATGGCAAGCTCGAGTTGAGGATGAATGATGAGACCATCACCATCAACGTCTTTGACTCCATGAAACAATCTTCTGATAAATGCGATTGTTTTCGACTTGATATTCTAGAGCAAGTGGTGGAAGAAGAAATATCTTCTAGTCAACAGTCTGATGAAGAACTTGGAGTACATGAATTGGTTCCTTTTAAGGAAGAAAAAATGAGGTATTTGAAGTTCTTGAGAAGAAAGAATCTGACAAGGAAGATGGTGCCCCAAAGGTGGAGTTGAAGTTCTTGGGTGAAGAGGAGACTTACCCTGTTATCATTAACAAGGGACTGTCTTCTGAGCAAGAAACAAGATTGATTACAGTGTTGAAGAACCATCAGACTGCCATAGGATAATCAATTTCTGATTTGAAGAGTATTAATCCCTCATTTTGTACTAACAAAATCCTCATGGAGGATGAGGTGAGACCAGTAAGGCAACCTCAAAGGAGGCTTAATCCAACAATGAAGGAGATGGTGAGAAAAGAATTGGTGCAAACTGTTCCAAAAAAGGGAGGTTTCACGGTAGTCCACAATGAGAAAAATGAACTTATTCCAACTAGAACCATTACTGGTTGAAGAATGTGTGTGGATTACGGAGGTTAAATGCCGCCACAAGGAAGGATCACTTCCCACTTCCTTTTGTTGATCAGATGTTGGAAAGATTGGCGGGTCACAATTATTACTGTTTTATGGATGGATATTCTAGGTACAACCAAATCCCAGTGGCACCAGAAGACCAGGAGAAAATAGCCTTCACCTGCCCTTTTGGAGTCTTTGCTTATAAACGGATGCTGAGGATCGTGATGTGATCGATCGCCGGCTGAATGCTTTCAGGAAGCATAAGCCACCTGTGTTTGAGGGGTCTTTGGATCCTATTGCTGCTGCGAGATGGCTAGAGTCGCTGGACAAGATTTTTCGGGTTATGCAGTGTACAGACCCACAAAAGCTGATGTTCTCGACCTACATGCTGGAGGGCGATGCCCATGAGTGGTGGACGCACACCTCTCGTGCTTTTGAGAGGCAGGGCCGCGTCATGACGTGGCCATTCTTTGAGGAGTGCTTTCTGGGCCGATATTTTCCTTATGATGCGCAGGAGAGGAAGCAGGGAGAGTTTGATCGTTTGGTACAGGGCTCGATGTCTGTTGATGAGTACCTGGCTAAGTTTAATGAGCTAGTGAAGTTTGCACACTTCCGGATGGTTCCTCCTACTCCGTTGTTTCTGGAAGCTAAGTTCCGCAGGGGACTTAGTGAGGTGATTTCTGAGCATCTTGCTAGTGCTGCTTCGAGGGACTTTGGTACACTGGTTCAGCAGTGTAAGGACATCGAGGATGTTTGCGTGGCAAGCAAGGCCAAGAGGGCCAAGGTTGAGGAGAGCAAGGGAACAGGTGGTTCCACTCCTGCTCCTGCTTCTTGGAAGGACAGGAGGTTTGCTGATAAGGGCAAGGGAAAGCAGTTAGCGACTAGGCAGGCGCCTGGTCAGTTCAAGAGAGCTATTTCACATCAGGGGAGTTCTGTTAGGCCTCCTACCACTCCGAGATGTTCGGGATGTAGGAAGGAGCATATGGGACGCTGTGCTACGAGGCAGTTGTTGTGCTTCAAGTGTGGCAAGGAGGGCCACTTCTCTAGAGATTGTCCGTCGTCGACGGCGAGAGCTG